TCTGCCCCCCCAGGGGCCTCTGGCTACCCCCGGAGGACTGTCCCCCCTCCCCGCAGACCTCTGCCCCCCGCAGGGGCCTCTGGCTACCCCCGGAGGACTGTTCCCCCCTCCCCGCAGACCTCTGCCCGCCGCAGGGAACTCTGGCTCCCAAGCACTCAGCACCTTGCCCCGGCCCCTCCTCCCGCTGAAGGGCAGGTGTTCCAGCATTCGGGTGGGCATCCCAGGCAGAGCCCACAAAGCTCAGACGGCAGCCGGTGCGCGCGGCCTGGACCTTTTCCTGAACAAAGGCCCAGAGCTGGGACTCCAGTGAGGAGAGGTCAGAGGGGCCGCACCAGGCCTGGGTGACGCGGACACCAGGACCCAGAGCTGGCAGGAACGCTGCTCTCTCAGCCCCTCCAGGGCCAGCCGCCCTGGGCTCCGGCCCGCCCTTGACCTCTGGCCCGTGGGGCCTGTTAGGCAGGGCACCAGAGGAAGACAAAGGCGGGGGAGGCCCGCTGGGTGTCCCTGTGGCATCACCCCCAGCACTGCGACAGCTCCCGGTGTGTGTCGTCACATTCCCTTCAGGGGTGCCAGCCGCCGCCGGGCAGCACGCTCCCCTCAGATGTGAGTCCCAGCTCCACAGGGCACTCCCTTCCCTGCTCCCCACCTTACCCACAGTGGTGCAGCCAGCCCCCCAGCTCCAAATCCTAATCAGCGCCCCTGCTACAAGCACACGGGTCTGTGGACACACTCAGACAGATGTTACCGGTCACCTGATCACAGCAGGCCCTCCTGGACTAGTCGACCAGGGGCATCGTGGACCTCTGCGACTCAGCAGCCTCTCAGAGCCAGTGGAGATTACCACACCCACCCCAAAACAACACACTGGTGTTCCCTTTTCCTAGGCAGTCACCCCCACAAATGGCTGCAGGCACCCTTGGAGGGCCCAGAGGGAAACTCCAGGCCCTTCCTCCAGAACCTCACCCTCCCTCCAGCAAGGACTCTGCTCCTGTGAATTGATTGTCATCTGGAAAACAGGTCAGAGCCTGGGCCTCTCCATCATGGTGACCGAGCTGGGTTTCAGGACCCTGACCATTAACACTCCTCAAGGAAAAATGTCCTAAGTACTATTTAGTTCCCAAAGGGGTCTTCACACCTGTGCAGATTTGGGAGGGCAGATCTGTTCCAGAGAAAGCATTTTATGCCTTTATAAAACACCGACTCAAAGTATTCTACACAGACATTTCTTGTGGGCTCAGGCACCAGCTCTTGACACCGCGGCAGCTGAGGCCAGGACTGGCCCGGGCCCATGGCAGCCAAACACCCCTCCTCCCGTTCACTGCACACCCCTTTACAGTTCAACGGAGGGTGTACTTACCATCTCTGGCCACAGCACCGAGGTCTTATCACTTCCTAGAATGACTCCTTCTCAAACGTTTGTTCCAAAAAATACTTTATTTATTAAACAATATATCCATAATCTATAACATGATCCAAAAATACAGATATACATCTTTACATTATTTAATAAAAAGATTTACAATATTATCTTTCCTTTACAAAGGGAACATAGATAATTCCTTGAAAATAAAATGTAACATTCATGTTAAAGCTGCATCATCTTTTTGGATGAAATGTGGTAAAAGTGAACACCACAAAATACATTTGTAGGAAGAAAGAAACTTCACATAACTCTCTCCCGAATGAGAACATTTTTCTTAGACTTTCTGTTTTAAAACTCCTCTCGGCACAGGTAACGGGACCAGTCATGGCTCACTAACAACTGAGAAAAACCTCCTATGTCCAAGGCCCGCAGCGAGTGTCCGACTTCTGGCCGCGGCCACACGGGGAAGCTGTTCTCCGGACAGTGTTATTGCTCGAGGCAGACCCTGCCAGGGCTGCCAGCTACCAGTCGGGAGTGCCGCGTGGCCGCCCAGGACGAGGCCACCGTCCCCACGCGTCCCAGCAAACCCCCGTCATTCCTGTGCAGACCGGAAGCCACCAGGCTCCCGTGGCCGTGGCCAGTGGCATATCACACCTGCCCACCCGGGGACCCCAGTCACACAGGCCTCAGCTCAGGGTCTGCAGCAGCTCCATGAGCACAACCACGGATGTGGGGGGCTCACTTTAACAAATTACTTTTGTAAGTGTAGCACGTGTTGTTCCAGAGGAAAACGAGAGGCTATTGGTCAAACTGCTGACTGCTAACAGAGCGCTGAGAGCAAGGAACATGCTGAGTCCCCTCTGAACAAGGGGCTCCTTCCCTACAAGGAAACCCCACAGCTGTGGAGGGCCCGCACCCTTGGCTCAGGTGCAGCTGCAACAGGGACCTCTGGGCCCAGCCCAGACCCCCCTCAACCCAAGGGACAGGGCTCTGCAGCCGCCTCCGGGTCGGATCTGGTGCCCGGCAGGCAGACAGGGTCTGGTGGGCATCACCCCGAGGTAGGTGGCCAGGCCTCACGGGGCGATCCTCGGCTGGCGCCCACCACCCCCACGGGGCTGGAGCCGGGCCAGGTGGCAGGACAAAGTCTTTCCCAAGCAAACAGCGTTGTCACGGCGGCGTTCACAGTCAGGGAGGGGCAGCGGACCCGTGCTGGTCCAAACGGCATTCCAGGGAATAAATCTTCCTACTCTGCTCATGTCTTATTGTCTCCAAAGCTCTATCTATGGGTGTTGTTTTGGAGATATTTATGCAACCGACAAAAGCAAACACTAGAGACAGCCAGGCACAGAACCTACAAAGAGAAAGCCAGCAGCTGGGCCGTTACACGGCGACCAGCGGAGGACGGCATCACATTCCAGCTCCCGACAGGGAAGTCAGGGTCCCTCCTGCGCAGTGAGGGAGGGCCCTGCCCAGCCATCAGCCCACACCCCCAGGCACCGGTTTCCCCATGATGGCGGCAGCCGGGAAGTGTTCTAAGATGCAGTGCAAATATTAAACTACCTTCCAAAGAATCATCACAAACTCATGTACTTACCTATCCTCTCCACAAAAACTGATAGAAGAGTGAAGAAAACAATTTTCCACAATTTATTCCCCACAATCTTTAAACACCTGTGTTAACAAAAAGCTAAGTTACTAAATACAAACAAGCCTCATTTTCGGCTGCGGCTGAGATGGAGGCGCATGTGCTGGCCGGCGTGCATTCGGAGGCCCCCACCCCTCCTTTCCGAGCAGGAGGAGGGCTTCGGTTCCGGGATAGCTTGTCAGGCCAGCTGCTGACCCCCTACCCTAACCACCCAGCCCAGGACGGAAAGGGTGGCCCTCTCCGAACTGACCTCACCTGCAGTCAGTCCCCTGGAAGCCCCAGAAAGGACGGCAGGACAGCAGGTCTGGTGCAGGCTGCCACGCCAAGAACCACAGACCCGGGGTCGACCGGGACCCTCCCTGCCCTCTGACGTCGGAGTTAACATTCAGCTCTCATTTACCGACCAGGAACTGCCTTGGTGAGGAGTGGCCCATGCAGGACACAGTCCCCCAAGTTTCTCTCCATGTCATCTCCTGTCCTTGGTGAAGTATTAGAGAACAGGAGGGAACATTCGGTAAACAAGGCCACTGGAGGAAGCAGCTGCACCGTTCCAGAAGGCCTCCTGATAAAGAAGACAAGATTCTTCTTCAATTGGGAATTTGACATCTCGACTCCGCCACCTGGATTTCTTTTCCTGCCTCGAGGACAGAAACAGGTTTCCCTCTTTCTTCGGGACTCCTCAGGCTCCTCTAAACATATGCTGGAGGATCTCAGAGTCCACGCATGCTCCCAGAAGTCACACTATGCACCATCACAAACGGATCTCAGCACACCAAACATATGCAATTTCCCCCAATTATTCCCCAAAACAGGGTTCAAGATTGGTTTGGTGAATGCAGATTAAACAGAAAACACACTCTAGTTTCCTAGTTTCATTCCAGAACTGCGTGGCACAAGAAATTCACAAATCGCATCACATAATCGTTGTCCCCTCGGACATGAGCTGCTGACTGGTGTACGACATAACAGGTTTAGAAAAATCAGCTCTTACTGGACTGGACTCACTTCACATACACACAGACCCACGATCTTCATGCTATTACGATAATTTCATCTTCACAGTAAAAACGTCAGAGAATTCCCAGAGAAACGGATCATCAGCTGTCTGTCACACGTCTCTTGCGGACCGGTCACGGTAATGACCACCCGTGTGCTAATGAAGAGCCATTTACTCCAGAAGGTAAAACCCTCACAGAGGGAACTGGGAGTCCAGACGAAAAAGGCAGTGCACAGCGAAGCAGAGACCTCCTCCTCCAGGGAGAGCCCGCCCTTCCCAGGCAGGCCAGGGGCCCTGGCCCAGAGCTCGGACGCGGCAGACGCCCTCCAGTAAGGCCTCGCCACGTCCCACAAGCGTAGGCACCTCAGCGGGGACAGATGTGCTTCCAGAGGTACTGGGTGCAGCCCCAGGAAGCAGGGACAGACCTCGCAGGCTCACGCCTCAGCTGCAGAGTGACGGTACTGCACAAGCTGGGCGGTCCCCGCCGCAGCCCCCACAGAAGGCTCGGCTCCTCGGCGCGCCTGCTGGGCTTGACGCGCGCCTGCTGGGCTTGACGCGGGGCCAGTACAAAGTCTCCAATAATGAAGTCACTGTGGCGAGTCCCCGTTAGATCGCTCCGTTAGATCGCTCCTCGTGCAAACAGGGCTCAGGTGGATTCTTGTTTGTTTTAGGAAGTATCCAGAATTACAACTGGCCACTGAGTTTTTAAATATCATTTGAAACAAGGTAGTTTTAAAATGAAGAGAAAATATTGCAACATGAAGAAGGAATATATTAACTTGCTCTTCTAGTCCAGGCATCAGCCTTACTTCTTCTTCCTCCTTTCCTGAACGCACCGTGGACAGAACCTGAGGAGAAAGACACAGTGATCGGCCCTGTGCATGCAGAGGCCCACAGCCCGCCTCCCCGGGCCACCGGGACGGCGCCAGGGGAAAGTGCACAGAGCACGTGGCCCTCGCATCGGGAAACCCCCGGCAAGGGGGAACCCCAGCAAATCACCCTAGCCAGCACGTGTTTTGGAGTCGACAGATACGAATCAATGTGCAAGACTGTTTCTACGCATGAACACTGCTCACCATCAAGTTAACTGGTCGTCCCTGTGTGATGCCGGGGTCGTCAGTGATCAGAGTGGAGGCGACACCCACAGCCACGCTGGCGACCAAGCGCGTGGAGCATGGTGCGCGGAACATGGCGTGAGGCACACCCAGCCAGGCGGGCAGGCCGAGAGGGCCCTGGGACCTGCGTGATTAGCCAGTGCTCCTGGTGACCCTGGGCCAGCAGGGTCAGTGCCTCACACACAGGAGGCGGCCCTTGGTCACTCCTGGGCCAGGGCAGCTGTGAGTGACACAGGGATCATTCCTGCTGCTTTCCACCTCAGCCCTCCTGGCTCCCGATGCAGGAGGCAGCTGATGCCACGGGATGCACCCACCCAGGCCCCAGGCCACCACTTGCCAGTGTGTGCTCCGTGCCAGGGAGTGAGCTCTGAGCACGCTGCTGCCGCTGCCCCAGAGAAAGCAAAGCTCCCCCAGCAAACATGCTCACGTGCGGCTCGTGAGGCACCAACACGTGTCCGAGCTTCAATCCTACTTAACAGGGAAGGAGCCTGAACACTGACCCCAGAGAAACACGGAGTTAGACAGCAGGAGTGGGGCCCACCCGGCCTCCCCAACTCTGCTTGTCCTGCCCTGTTCCTAGCGCACGATGGGTGGACGCCCATCTGCATGGCCCCCCCAGAAGCAAAATGGTTTTCCATCGCCTACGGACTCTTCCCAGAAGTTCCACAAACAACTCAAACCCCTGTCCAAACTCAAATCAGAGCTCCCTGCCTCGCGCCCCACCACGAGTCACACCTGCCCCACAGGTGGCCAGCAGCCCTCCACCCCCCCACCCCCCGCTCAGGTGCCCGCCCGGCTGCAGGGAACCCCACCCCCACTCAGGGGCGCGTCCCATGACTGCTGACTCCAAGGTGACCCGGTGCTGGGACTGCACGTGGCTGCCGTCACCTACTGAAGCCTGGACGACACAGCCTGTCCTTCAGGGTTTTCTCATCTCCTCTGGAGAACAAGATTCCCAAGATTTCATTTTAGGGCAGATGTCCGTTTTAAGCACAGGTAAGTAAAAACCTGGTGTTTATTTAAACGAAATCTCAGAACACAAAAGCTGCCATTGAGCACAAGGATCAGGAACCAGAAAGTGCTCATGTGTTCTGAACACCTTCTCAATTAAATAGAAGCCCTTTGGCAGGTCCCTGGCCTGCGCCCAGGTTTGGATCGGTCTCAATGCTCAGGCTCTTTGCCTTTTCCCAAAATTTCTCCAGGGAAAAGAGCTCCCCATTTCACACTTGTATTTAAGAGTATCTCTACCTCAATCCAAAAAGTCAAAACAGCTGTTCTCTAGAAGAATCACGAAAACGTCATAAAAGACTTGCCCCCAGGTGAGGTGGCAGCAGGTGTCCCTCTACCAGCTCAGCCCCAGGAACCAGGAGCGCTGAACTGGAGTGCCGAGGCCACAGCCCGGCTCTGCAGGGGAGCAGTGCACGGGACGCCTCGCAGACAGGGAAGGACAGAGCAGCCCCCCATACTGACCATTTTCCTTTGGGTTTCGTGGTCAGGTCCACACAGGCGAAGTGAAACCACTCAATAGGACACTGCAAGGCAGAGGGGAGGCCACAGTCAGGACTCTGCGCTCCATGTGCTGGACACCAAAAGACGACAGCCCCCACCCGCCACCCCCCACCGGGGCCACAGGGCCCCGCCCGCGGCCTGTGCCCAGCGCCCACACTCACGTCTGGGTTGTCACAGCCTATCATCTCCCCATAGGACACCTGGTGGCACAGGCAGTAGGTGGGCTCATTCGGGTCCACGGGCATGTCCAGCACGTCAGAGGGGTGCACAGAGAGGATGGTGTCGGTGAACTCAGACCTGCAGGGAAAGCACAGCAGTGAGCAACAGGTGGGTGCGGACAGTGCGCCCCCTTGGTACAAGACAAGAGGGGTACAGAGGCACCCCAGAGGTGTGGGGGGTAGCAGGCACCACCCAGCACTGGGGTTTGGCACTCTGGGGACATGAACGCATCCGCCTTGTCCCCCCATCTGGACAGGACCTACTCTCTGGGCTCCCTGCCCACCCTGCCCCAGGTCCACCCTTCCCAGCCTCTTAGGGACCCTCTCCCTTGGGGGAGTCACACCCCCACGCAGCAGCTGCCAGTTGATGGCATCTGAGAACCCCTGACCCCAACCCAGACTGATCCAGCTGCCTGCACACCCAGTACCACCCCTCACATGCCCACAGCACCGTCACCCCAAAACCCAGAAACCTCCAGATGCCCTCCCCATTCCTGGAGCCCTAAGTCTTGGGAACCCCCTCCCACCCGCCAGCTGCCCACCCGGCACCATCACCCACCCACCCCCATGAAGCAGGCCTATTGCCCCCCACTCCCCACAGCCACCCTAGGTCACTAACCAGTGGCCAGCCAGAATCTAGCCTGCCCATGCCTCCCTCCCTGTCAGCTGCCCACAGCTCTGCAGCCAAGCAGCTGGGCGAGCAGAGGGGAGTGTCTGCCTGCGTGAGAGCAGGGAGGGCTGGGGTGTTCACTCTTTCCTGTGATTCAGTAGCTTTCAGATAAACCTGTCAGCTACAGGGAAACATAGACAGTATGCTCCAAACAGCAAAGAAAGCAAGCCTTCCCCACTGCACCCTCCAGAATCAAGAACACATACGTAATTCAAATACACAACTGCTGTGGGGACACAGCCAGTTCACACCAGGAACCTGAGGGGAAGCCAAGAAACTGCAGCAGGTCACAACTGTTGAAACACCAACAAGTCTGGTCCCAGAAGCAATCACCAACCCTTTCTCCCATGCTGCCTGTATAGAAACACTCCGTGCCTCTGGAGTCAGCTAACCAGGCTCAACCATGCACCTCTGCGCCACACTGCCCCCCCCCAGAGAACCCCCCCCTCTGACCCCGCCCCCCCCCCCGAGCCCCCCCCCCCTGTCCCAGCCCCCCCCCACAGAGCGCCCTCTTCTGACCCAGCGCCCCCCAGAGAGCGCCCTCCTCTGACCCAGCGCCCCCCACAGAGAGCGCCCTCCTCTGACCCAGCGCCCCCCACAGAGCGCCCTCCTCTGTCCCAGCGCC